CTCTCTCTCTCTCTCTCTCTCTCTCTCTCTCTCCACACAACACACACACACACACACACACACACACACACACAGAACACACGCACACACACACACACACACACACACACACACACAGAGAACACACGCGCGCGCGCGCGCGCATGTATACAGAGGCGTACAAGAACCCTCGCCGGCACACCTACACGCACGCGCGCGTCGTTGTTGTGTGTGCACAAACGACGCAACTCGGTCGGTCGGTCGGTCGGTCGGTCGGTCGGCTCATTGAATTATCGAGATTCAACAATGGCTAGCGTGGGAGTGGTAAGAGGAGCAAAAGAGGGAGTAACGATGATGAGGGACGGTGAGGACGAGATGCAATTGTTTGAGAGGAGAGACGGGGCGAGCAGAGGCCGTGTCAGACGCATAGAGAGGCCTGACAAGGCGGAGATGGAGGCAGAGATCGTGAGATTGAACGAATCGATCGATGGTTACCAAGCACGTATTCGCGAGATCAGGGGATTGCTAGATGAGAAGCAAGGCAGTCGGCAGAGCACCTCTCAGGAGCTGCAAGAAGCGAGAAATCGTCTGGCTCAGATTGCGTGTCAGTTCAAAGCCGTGGTGGACCAGAAGAAGGCGCTCTGGGAAGAGATCGAGATAGCCGACGGAGCACGAGAGAACATGAGGAATCAAGCGAAGAGATTGAAAGAGAAACTACCTTTTGTGTCTGTAGCGGAGATTGATGAGGAGATAAAGAAGATGGAGACGAAGATGGGTCATACCAGGCTGAGCGTTGCTGAGGAGAAGCGGTTGTTGATGGACATTCAGAACCTGAGGAAATCCAGAAACTTCGTGGAGGAGTACTACAACGAGAGGCTGGGCAAGCGAAACAAAGAGGAAGACAAGGCTACAAGGGCCGAGTACCTAGAGAGGATCAATGAGAAAGACAAATTACTTGACCAGTTGAGGGTTCAGCAGCAGAAACAACGAGAGCTTTTGGCTGCCATCAAGGCCAGGGAGCAGTCGCAGAGTGTGGACATACCTTCATTGATAGAAGAGAGAAATGAATTGTTCGACTTGATTCGGCAGTCCCGGGAGCAGATACGTCAGGTGAGGGCAGAGTTCTGGAGAAGGGAAGAAGAGTACTACCAGAGAGAAAGGGAGCTGAGGCAGCAGGTGCAGGAGGACAGAAGGAGACAGTTCTTGCTGCGAGAACAGAGGCGGAGGGAGGCGGAGCAGAGGAGAAGGGATAGAGAGGCAGAGTTCTATGTAGAGCCGTACACGGACGAGATCATTCAGTGTGACCAGCTGATGAACTACATGCAGAAGCTGTTGCCCCCCGATCATCATCTTCATCTTCCTCTTCATCATCATCACCATCACCATCATTCCACTACCGGGGCAGCATCGGACATTGGTAGGGCGGTCAAATCGTCAGCAACGAGTATGGGAACGAATGCAACCACGACGAAGGGCGCCGTGGCAAGTCTGCCCACGACTGCTGCTACGCTGGTTGCACCTGAAGGAGCGGTGATCATTGGCTCTAAGAAGAACCAGGACCTGGAACTGGATGGCTGGTTTAGTGGCGTGGGAGGCGGGAAAAAGGGAAAGAAAGGGAGGGCAGCTGCAGCATCAGCAACACCAGCAGATTCCCGTTTGCCTGCGGCGGCCATCTCCAAGTCGAAGACTACTGAGAAGATCTCCCTCTCTCTCCACGCCTTGTCTTCGTTAGAGAAGCTATCTATAGACCCTCCCACAACCGTCAAAGATCTGGCAATCGCCATCAACAAGCTGAAGGAAAAGAGAGCCCTCTATGAGCGATTACAGAAGGGAGGAGTAGGAGGAGGAAGAGAAGAAGTCGTAATAGGAGGAAGAGAAGCAGCAGCAGCCGCAGCAGCCGCAGCAGCAGCAGCAGCAGGAGGAGGAGGAGGAGGAGGAGGAGGAGGAGGAGGAGGAGGAGGAGGAGGTGGTGGTTCACCCACCAACGGTACCAGTCACACAATGGATGACGTCACGGATTATTCCTCTGAAGATTCCAACGGCTCAGCGAGTCCGAGATTAGCCTGGTCCAAGGGAACCGCCAGTCGTGACGATGAGGAAGGGAAGGATGGACACTTGTGGTTAACCGCTGACGGCGAGCTTGAGGACAACCCGGGCAACCATCCTGTCTCGCTCACCGATGATTTCAGCGACTACCAGCAACGGCCCGATGCGGACGATGAACAAACTCCATGCACAGTTGAGGACGACGACGTCCAACCTGACGACAACGCAGTTGAAATGGACCCTGTCTGCATCGAAAGGCAACAACCCGAAGTCAGAGAGGGCGAGGACGGTGTGGAGGAAGGGATGGGGAGAGAGAAGGGGGAGAAGGGGGAAGCGGGGAGAGAGGATGCTGAGGAGGGTGAGGAGGGTGAGGAGAATGGAGAGACTGAGAAAGGTGAAGACAATGCGGAATCCGATGCTCACGCCACGCCGATCTGTCTATCCTCCCCTGTTCCGAATTATGACGATAACGTGGAGATGGCGAAGACGAAGAAGGCTGAAGAAGAACTTTCCCACGGACTTTCCTCGACCCCATGGAGTCCATCAAGCGAACGACGATCGTTAGATCATCATGACGACGACAGCCGTCAAAACATGGACGCTGGCGATGCCAAGACTACCTCCAAATCCTTCTCCTCCTCCGCCTGTTCCTTGTCGTCGTCGTCTTTGATGAATGGGAGTTGTAGTGCCCTCTCCGCAGACGGTTGATGCAGTTGAGCTCTCAAAGTTGAGTTCTCTCGTCGACGTTCGTTGGGCTCTGAAAGTTGCTCTGGAAGAGAAGCTCACCGTGTGGAAGCGCGTATTGCCTGTGCTACATGGTCTTTAGATGAACATTATCACAGAGAAGATGATGACTCTGTGCACAGTTGCTACATCATGATGGGACGAGACCGAGCACGACTCTAACAGCAACTACCGTCTTCCCCCGAACACAACGCACCCTCATCTTGGCTGTACCGGACCGGAAATATAGCTTGCATACGTTCAATCTCAGGGTGCGTTATGTTCGGGGGAAGACGGTAGCATCAGATTCTCCCCTTTCCATTCCTGCGGCATGTAAGGCCCAGATCCCACTAGCAAAGAGGATTGGAATATGCCTCTGAATCTGGACGTGTATGTGGAGCGGTGCAAAAAATTGTGATCGGTCTGCTTTTCTGCATCTCCGTCCGGAACACGTCCAGATTCAGACACTTTTTCCAATCCTCTTTGCCAGTGGGATCTGGCCCCCTAAGTAATAGCTCCTTCCCTTACCTTCCTAGGCTTGCCTGTGTTCGCCATCCTCCGTTAGACTACTCTCCTTCATCGCTTTCTTCACGCCCGCTTCGGCTTCTCCGCACCACTCTCGTCTTCTGTACGTCCGCGGGTTCGTCTGGGAAAGTTACCGAGATACACGCAGAAAAGTTACCGAGATACACCCAGAAAAGTTACCGAGATACACCCAGAAAAGTTACCGAGACACACCCAGAAAAGTTACACCCAGAAACGTTACCGAGATACACCCAGAAACGTTACCGAGATACACCCGGAAAAGTTACCGAGATGTCCAGGAATTCTGCATCTGCACAGACCTACCAGCCAGGTATTTAGGAATGCACCGTACTGCTTTCATCACGCAGATGCATCATCTTGTATCTCTGGCGAGGAAAAAGTCTGCGCGTGCCGCAGTACCGAGTTCGTTCTCCTTTTTCGCTTCTCTTTCGTCGGCTTCCTTCCACCTCTGTCCTTTCCTCTTGGTTGCTCTGTCCTGAATTGATCTCTCTCTCTCTCTCTCTCTCTCTCTCTCTCTCTCTCTCTCTCTCTCTCTCTCTCTCTCTCTCTCTCTCTCTCTCTCTCTCTCTCTCTC